CGCGTCAACCCGTTGTGTCCGGGCACGGCGGGGCTGCCAGCCGCTGGAGGAGGTGCTTGTGTGTGAGGTGGGCACGGTTGGTGTGGGTGTGATGGTGGTTGTGAATTCTGTTGGTATGGCAGTGCTTTTAAGGATGGGTGCGGTTCCTGAAGTCATTGTTCTTATTGTCTCAGAGATTGTGGAGGCTGTAGTGTGTGATGCTGGAGTCCTAGTTGCTACTTTGGATGTTTCTAAGAGAGAGGACGTGGCCTGCAAGGTTGTCATTGGTAGAACTGATGTTGTTGATGTGGCTGAAGTGGGAGGCAGAAACGTTGTGCTGAAGGTTGTTTCACTGGCTTCAGGTAATGTTGTAGGTATTTCTGTTTTTTGGGCTTCGGTTTTTGTTGTTGTTGTTGGGTTTATTTTTGTCTGTGGTGTAGCAGTCGATTGTGAAAATGATGTTGATTCTACAGCAGTAGTTTTGATTCCTGTTGTTGTTCCTGGTGTTGTAGTTTGTATTTCAGAACATGGTATATAAGTACAACATAATATTCTTATTTGGTAGTTATAGCAGTGCTCAGATTGTTGGTCTTTGTTATTGCATATCAATCCTGTGTTTTGACTGCATCTTACTGTTTGGTTTAGATTTTGTAATAATGTATCTGGGTATTCTGTGGCTCTGCATTCAACACTGCTTGGATTTTTACATATGCTATATCCTTTATCTCTGAGGTTTTCAAATGTTTCATAGTCTCCACTGTTCTCTCCATTTTTGGGCTGCATGCTATCATACCATTCTGACCATGCACATGTTTTCTTCACACATACAGTTGTTACTGGTGTTGTCGTTATCATTCCTGTAATTAAGAAGAAGAAATATAAGTCATGTGGACCCATAATAAAGGAAGTGTCAATAGGCAATTATTCATCTTCCAAGCATTTTATTGAACATGCTTCAACCATCCTGAATTTTGTTTCTAATGTAGGTTTTGATGTGATGTCTATATTCTTTCTGTTGTGGTACTTAACATGACTCTTTCTTTTTGTAATTTTGTAGTTAAATATAGTTAATAGGTATCTTTTGTGCTGAAACTCACTGCATAGGACAAGGCTGTCTTGAGAATGCATTTATATTTGCCATGGTAAAAATAAGAGGAGGCTTTATTCTCCTTACTGTTGTCTCTGTACTTATTTATCCCTTTTTCTACATAATCGGAAACGTACACTCCTTTTACCATAACTACACAAGCTCTAAAGTATTTTTACAGGTTAGTGACTTCAAAAAGTTTTTACTTTTTAAAATAAGATTTTTTTCCCTGTTGTTAGCATTATGAAGCTGTCAATGTAGAATATATACCACTTTCTTCATATGATGGATACATCTGCTTAAGAGAATACTGAAGCTGATTAGGCTGTTCTTGTAGTAGTATTGTATAATTTTGTGAAAATATTTCTCATAATTACATTGTCAGTGTGATGAGTTAACATAAAATTTGATACTGCTGGAGAATGGATCTGCTGATTTGGTTGTTAAAGACTTTAACCATTAGGAAAGGTTCCAAAGAATGTTTTAAAATATTCTGAGCATTCCCTCAAACTGGATTTCTTATCTTCAGTTTGCACTAACGTGGTCAGTAATTTTTAAAGCAGCAGTAACCGTCTTCCATATGTTCAGAAGTTGGTACAGAACTGCTGGGTTTTTGTGTGCAGGGAAGTGAGGATTCTCCAGAGTGCAACAATTAATAAGCCATATCGTTTTTCCCCTGGAAAAACCATGGTGAAACATCAGGAAGACTAAGTTTGTAAGAAATGCTGCATTTCTATGTCCTTGATTACAGTCTCAGCAATGGAAGGTGTAAGCTGAATTTGATTTTCTCCAGTAGGAGTCAACAGTTTCAAGTAAAAGTATACGCCATTAGCTGATGAAACAGCCCTCCCTTCTAGGTATTTTTCATTCCCTTCCACAGATTTTTCAGGTATTTTAAAAAGTATTCATGAGTACCTGCAGCAGTAGATGTGGGCTGACTTGTAGAAAATATCAATGGGGTTGTTGTTGAGATGCCACATTTAAAGATGTTTCTATTTATTGTTCCATTGACATCACATGTTGCACTAAAACACCATCCAGTTCCATCTGTGGTGTTGTAGATCAGCTCACTATATTTATAGCTGTTTCCTTCATAAATGCAGTGACATGCTGTAATTCAGAAGGTTATTGTCAGTCTATGAAAAAATAATCTCCAGTATTTCAGTTTCTTAAATCTTAGCTATCTTACCTTTATCATCAAACTTGCAGTGTAAACCTTCCGATGTGCATTCACTGAAATAAATAACAGATAAATAGTAACAGATAAAAACATGTATCTTATGATTATGAGCAAATTTAGTACTGTTGTCTTTCTGCCAGATATTATCCCAGGATGGGATAATTGTGAATGAGAATTTGTCCAATTGAGATACTTGGATTCAGATGAGTATCCACATTCCAGATAATTAATAATTCCTGGTTCCAGATTAATGAGTAGAAGGCCGTTTTTCCCTCTCCATAGCTTCCAACATATATGGCTCGGCTAAAGGCTGGTGTTAACTTTTTCTTATTTATAGTCAGTTCTGACAATAACCCAACCTGGATCACGGAATGATTCACTCCTTACTCGTTTCCTTGTATTGACATCACTTCATTTTTATTTATTCCTTAAATGTCCAGTTCATGTTGGCTTCTTTTTTGCCATTGTTTTCACAAATTTTTCCTTTATATTAAAACTGAATTTATAAATAAAAGTGAAGTTAGGATTAGAGGAAGCTACAGCTCGAGGTCTTAAAAAATGCTATATACTGCTTTGCTTATCCCTGTAATGTTTTTATACTAAAAAAAGGAAAGAGTCTAAATACTGGAAGCAGTATGAGAATGTAATAAAATCATTAGAAGTAGATCCCTGTTAGATAATATCTATACTCCTGTAACAGTATTTTTCCTGTCATAGGAATGGGGACTAGAGGAAGCCTGGTCATAAAGTACTTACTGTTCCTGTTGTAGCATTATTCTGAGGGATTTACAGTATGATCAAGAATAAATTCAACAGAGGAGAAAATCACATAACAGAACTTCTTACTACAAATGTAGTTAAGAAAATTGGCATTAGATAGGCATTGTTTTTACACAGGCAGCATAAACTCATCCTGCCATGTAACATGCAATTTCCCACTACTGCTTTGATCATACCTCCTTGTACACAGTTAGGCCAGTATGTTAAGCCTTACCATAAATGACATTCATCCCGTCTAAATATTTTCCCATCTTCATTATCATAACAGTCACAGAGACTGACACACTTCATCTGATCCTCATGAAAATACGGCTTGTCTGGTGGGCAGTTGGGGTAGCAGCCTGAAGCAAGGAAGAGGACGTATAGAAAGTGGTAAGGATGAGGATTTGATAGCAAAAAACTGTATTTGTGTTAAATGTGTTTGCAGGTCTTATTTTTAAAAGTCAGATTTTTTACTATTTAATTTTTTCCAATAATCCTAGGAAGCAACAAACATTATAGAATGCAGAGTACTATCATTAGCAGAGCCTGCAAGGCCTTAGTCCTAGAAATATATTTAACCCTATTTTCTATACTCTGCCTCCATTCATGTGGATGCAGTGGTGTTGAAGAGAACTGAATGGTGCAAATGCAGCTGAGGGGGAAAATATTAATAATGATTAAAAATATTGTAAAACGTACCCACTTAAAAGTATGTGCCCATTTAAAAGCACTTGCAGTTTTTTACCTTCTAAACCTGGCAAGTTATGAAGGCATTTTCCACTTGGGTTCCTACAAGTCTTCATACAGGAAGCTCCACAAGGCTTATAGTGCCATTCACACTCCCCTTGTTGATTGTAGTAATCACAAAAAAGGGCTAAGGAGAAATAGGAATGTGGACATGTTAAGGAAAAACACTTTTTTTCTTCACTTGGTTCATGTCTGTTCATCATATCACTGCCAAGATGCTTGAACAGTCTTGAAAACCAGGACTGAATAGGTGAAACTGGGTAACCATCAAGACAGTTAGTGTGAAAAGTCTACACAGTGAGATTATAGCGCACCCTGGAAAGATACCCAAAGCATGTGCTCAAGGACATGAGCAAAGCATTAACGTATATTTAACTACACTCTCAGAAGTGTTTATGAGAGAAAACTCACGACAGATTGATGGGGTTCTCCAGGCTATGCAGACACCAACTTCACTACATGCTTGAGCATAGGCAGCTACCGCTGTACAGAAGCAATCGCAGTCTCCTCCAGTGTCACATGCACAAGCATCTGTCACACATGCTTGGTAATATTTTCCTGGTTCAACCTGTTAGAAAAAAGTTATAATACACATCCTGCCTTCTCAGTTCTTTCTTAGCTTTGCTAGACCAATTTTCTTAAAATTGTAGTATCTCAAAAGAAAGATTTAAAATGATGATTTCTTATGTTTAAATACACTGCTAAACACCAGGGGTGATGGCAGATAGTAAATCTAAGTTATGTATGCAGTAACAAGTATTGCCACATTTTTAGATGACTAGAGTCACATCTCAGTGAAGAATTAGATTCATGTTCCCAAGCAGTCCCAGGCAACCACAACTGAAAATTAAGGTGTCTACCCAGGGAAAGAACTAAGGTAATACCAACAGCATGGATCTATCCCATGTTGTTTGGTATGTACTTAGCGCCAGCTGAAAGCCATGCTGAGGCTTTGACATTACCACCCCAGAATGTTACTGTTTCATTGAGCTTGTGTTCTACACATGGCATATGAGAACTATTAGTCAAATTACACTACAAGGAAATGTATGGTCATTCTGAAATTATTTCTTCCTACTAAGACAGTGTTTTTTTTCCTATGAACTAAATGAGCTGTTATTTTCTGTAAGTAGGGACTAGAAATCTGCAGGGCACGGTATATTCACATATATGTAGGTAGAAATGATTCAGTGCATTAGAAGCTTCACTAATACACAGACCTAGTCTTCACACAGTAAACTCCAGCCTTGGTGATACCTGAGAGTGACAGGCAGCAAAGACGTTGCTGTTGATGATGCTACACTGCTTCTCTGACCAGGACTTTCGATAAGGGTTGGCAAAACATGGGTCCTTTATGCAGTCAGCATCAGGACATGTAGAGGATACTTTCCAGCTGTTTGCAAACTCTAGGACATTCTCTACCAAAGACTGGCTCCTCGTAGTAAAGTCGTTGATGCCATTGCCATCATAATTTCCACAGAGGCCACAGATCTGGCCCTGCAAAAGGAAGTAATAAAATGATGGATGTGAGAAAACTTGAAGCAACATCTGAGACTGAAAGAACACTTGCAATTCAGCTCTTCAGATGGAGCCATTCCATGGTAACTATCCCCAACATCTTCATCCTTTGAAAATATCTTAGTTCTAGATATTTTGGAAAAGCATTCATCTCTTTCTTAAGCAACAGAACGTGACCACTAAGGCTAGAAGGACACTGTTATTGACTTTTTTTCTTTTAAATCTGAATAATGAGAACTACCTTGGTCGTTGTATCCTGCTATATTTGAGGTCCATCTTTATCAAGGAAACAATGACTCAGCTCACTCAGCTTTTAATTTATGCTTTACTTTATACCATGGATGTACATATATAAAACAGCCTTAGAAATCTGTCATAAAAACTAGCAGTCAAGCCACATATTCTACTCATTGAGTCTTTACCATTATGACTGCTAAAAGGGCTAAAAAGAAATGACATTTTCCTTGCACATCCCAAAATATTTTTCATTCCAGATTTATGGGTATGTAAAACTGTGATAGGCTACAATAGATGCTATGCTTTTTAAATGAATCTAAGCTATATATATTCCATATTGCTAATTTTTTATGAAATTCCAGTAGGTTAGGCAGCAAACAAACCTATGGTGCTGAAATAAACTCATTCTAAATTACACTGAGATGAATATACCACACAGAATGTCAGCGTGATATTCAATTAAGATGGCAACTTTCTCATTTTCTGCAGTTTTTAATACCTACTCATATGGCATAAGCTAGGAGAAAAAGCGTGATAACAGGCATATATTTTCCTTATCACCTGTTTAGATATGTGCTTGAAAAATGCATGGTAGCATTTCACAAGAGGCTTTCACTAGTGGTATTCCACTTTCTTGTTCTGAAGTATGAAAATTTGATTTTTGTGTCAATGATAGCTGGAAACAATGGATTACCTTCAAGACCAAAACTACTTAACTGATTTCTGCTCATGTAGCTAGGTAATTGTAATGAGGTCTGATAACCTTTACCAAGGTTCACTGGGTAATTTTAACATTAAGTCGAATCAGCAAAAAGCAGTTTGCTCATTCAAGCTCTGTCAGACCAGCTGCCTTCAGAGCTCAGACCAGCAGCAGGATGCTGACATGGCTTCCTGAGGTACCAGAGTAGGAATGCTGAAGGCTTTTCTTGTTTGGGATCTTGGCAGGGTCTGAGCAAAACTCACTTCCCATCCAAATCTGGACTGTATGCTGCCATTTAACTGCTAGGTATGTACCTTAAAATCAGGGCTGAGCTTGATGAAGATGCTGGTCTTCTTGTCCCACATGAGGATCAATCCACTGGTGGTCTCAATTACCAAGTACATACCCATGTAGCGGACTGTGTATGGCACCTGACCTTTTTGTCCTCTCTTTACCACACTGACATGCTCCTCACCAAGTATCAATTCATAGCTCTGAAACAGAAAAAAAGGTAATTAAAAATGAACCTAATAGCTACAGCTATGTTCTTAAACATGTTTCTCTAGTTTTAGGAGCACTACAACTGGTTTACATAATGAAAGTGAAAAATTCAAATGAGATTAAAAACTAAACTATATAATTCAAGTCTCAGGTTCTTGGAATCGAGGTACAAAACGTATTTTAAATGGTGCAGGTCAAAAAAGGGCGTAGAGGTAGTCATGGAGGAACTACACTGCACAGAATAAAATACCTTCTGACATTGCACACCAAATTTCTGCCAGAGATTTCTCCTGTAGAGCTGTACTTTGCTCAGTGATGGTACAAGATAGTGTTGTAGGGGTGGGAAATGGAAAAGACAGGAAGCTCTACCAAATATTTCATTGATTTTGCTTTAAGCTTAATTTATAAGTTGATTTGCTTTTTAAACTATTTTCTGCAGCTTTCTTGCAGCAATGGATATCTTGGCTTCTCCTAAGCTTTAAACAGATACAGAGCAAAACTGTTCTGCATGCAAAACCTATTTACCTCCAGGAAAACTTTGATAGATTTTGAGCAGGTTGTCCCAGTGTTTCCACAGGGAATATTTTCAGTGATAACCCTGAAGGTCCCATTCACTGTGCTGTTCTTCCCACAGTGGTTCTGGATAGAGAATAACATTAAAAAATATATTATTGTCATAGACAAGATCAAGGTTACACCTCATTTACTATCGCTAATTATCAGTACCTGGACAAGTGTGTATTCACAGTTTCCATTGAAGCTGAATCTGTTGTCATCAAAGGTGATATAATGTCCATCTCCATAAACAGCACAAGTACCCAGGCATGGATTATTTGTGCATTCCCACATTCTGTCCTTGCATACACTAGGAATGAGAAGAGAGCGTTTTAATAACAACTCACTTTTTTGTGCAGCCACATCCTAGCACCTCAGCGTTTGTTTGGAATCTCATCCATATTAAATGTATACTGATTCTGGAGTTAAAGTAGTCTTTCACGTTTTTCATGTGAAGAATTAAAGTATTATTCTATTTTGCAGTTAATTCATTCAGGATAACAGAACAGAACTTTGCTTTAAGAACACGGCAGTTCCAAAGATTTCCTTCCATTCTTTGTTTTTGCCATCCGTCTACAAACAGAAGAAAACCTGCTCATTCTAGCGAATCTAAAACTAAGACATCCATCAGCTGATGAATACATAACACAAATCTTTCCTCAGTACTGTACTATTTAAAATATTTGGAAAGGTAAATGACGGAACCAGGAATGCTACTTCCCAGAGAATACTTACCAGGAGTTACAGTCAACTTTGATCTTTTCCCCAGGCTGATACATGACTTCATTGTGAATACATGGACATTCCTCTTCAGTAATACAACTGCCTTTCCCATCTAACACAAGCCCAGCTGGGCAAACACAGCCAGATACACATTGGGTGCTATACTGGAAAAGTCGAGAGGAACATATAATTTCAGAATGAACTCATCACAGTAGGAAAGGAAGATTAAATTCTCATAAAATATCTTTATATGGGGTTTATTTCTGTCCAGCTTAAATGAGAGAGGACTCTAAAGCTACAGGCCATAGAACAAATAAGTTATTAGACATTGATTTAAGCCTATTAAAGATAAACGTTTCATATATGCCAATCTTGATTGCTGTGCTGGATTTTGTGAAATCTGAAATACATTGAATCTTATGTCTTGGCACGTGTTAGCTGAAGAAACCTTGCGCTTTGTAGTGGGTGATTTGTGATTGAATGAATGGAAGTTTAAAAAGAAAGTAAATATTTTTGTTTGGGTGAGCTGCACTGAAATATGATTTCTCTTGTGTGGTACTTATTCGCCAAGTGGCATGTGGTGCATGGCCATGCACCTAGGTGGAGCAATATAATGAGGTGTGCAAAAATTTCATGAAGACTTCATTATGGTATGAGGAAGAATTATGCTCCTAGCCAAATTATAGCCAGTAATTTTCTCCTAAAGAAGTAATATATATGGCAAAGCCCTAGATGTTTTCACTAATTACTGTTACATGCAGTAGCTGAAGAAAGTTTGACACTAATCTTATGAATTAAATTGGATTATCACTTTATGATATTTATGCTCCAAAACATGGGTTTAGGCTTCCGTTATAGGAACAAAGTATCAATATTGTAGATTGAGAGTGGAATAAATGGGTTATCAATGAATGACTGCAGCATCAAGAGCATGGACAAAACCTGGAAGCACCACCTCATCCAGCCATGACATACTTACACACTGCATATCCAGAGTATGGCAACTTTTTTGACACTCTGCTCCAGTGGTTCCTGCAGTGATGTTTCTACAGTCAAAGTAGACCATGGGAGATTCACAAACTAGAGGAAGGAAAGAAATAAGAGCAGTAAGAAATGGCACAGGGTTTATCCCACAGTTGCAGCCATATGAAATATCTAGAAATTTTTGGGGACTGTACATTTCAATTAGTAGCAAATGCTGTCCCTGTTCAATCTGCTAAATAGGAATCTCATTGTTTAGCAACAGAGTGCTGTGAATTTCCAGGGGAAAAAAAAGTGTGTTTTTTTTTTTTAATCTTTTAGAAAAAGAGGTCTTAACCATTAATCTTAGCATTACCTCTGTGTTCATTTTTGCCTTTTATGGCCTCTGTTGCACTGCAACTAAATGAGAAATACTTCTATTGTTTAAAAAAGTAAAATTAAGAAAGATCAATTCTGTTGACTGCCTACTCAAAACTTGGTATAGCAAGAAAGACAAGCCAAAGACGTTTTTTTACCTGGATTTGGATTTGGTGCTCCAATGCAGTTCAGTCTGCCCTGGATGCAAGTGCTGTAAGAGAGGAAAAAACCTTTTTTTTCCCCCCCTCTCAAACCAAGTGTTGAGACTGAGAGCTACTTATTTCTTATCAAGTTTCAGTACGTTCCAAGGAATATATGGAATCTCAGAATGCTATCTTTGAATCTCAGAAAAGAATTTCCCCTCAGCACAACTACTGGGGTGCTTTGATACAACATCTATTATTGCTTAACAGGAAAAATCATAGCTTAAAATGGGGTTATGTCCCTATTTGTCATTTCCTTTCTCATAAGATCTCTTCTTGCTGATGTAGTGATATATTTTATATAAAGAAAATCTCTGAATTAAAAAGAAAATGCACCTAAATACAATTGCTTTATTAAACTGGAAATAAGCATCGTTCCTGAAAGCTGACAAGACTGTTAGAAAATGCTGTATTGAAACTCACAAGGCAGTTGAAATACAGCATATTTTAATAAGAAAAAAATATATATAAAATACAGCTTGAGTGTTTTGCAGAAAATTCACTTACCATACAAGCCCATTTTCATGGACAGCTTCCCCAGACGGTATGGGAGATCCTCTGTAGTAACAGGGGCATGTATTAGCAGGCACACATTTGCCACTATCATCCATGTAGGTTCCGTTTATGCAGGTGCAACCATCAACTGGGACAAACTTGATGTTGCATGTGACATCAGGCTCACTCAGAGACCGGCAAGTGGGTTGACAGGAATGGATGGTGTAGCTGTAATTTAGGGATTTGGGACACAAGGTGGTGTATTTTGCTTGAAAGAGGAAAAAAGAACAGATTCGTTAATTCCAGGTGGTAATCTCTGATGGGAAGAAAGAAAGAGTAGGTAGTAGAAACAGCAGATAAGGAGATTGCGGTACTTTCCTTTGCCTATGTTGCATCTTTCATGTAAATGTATTTCTGAATACCTTCGGCGCTAGACCTGAAAAGCTACAGTACATATTGCGTAAGTCAAGGGATGTATGCAAGAAAATATTTTTTCAGATGAAATTTCAGAAAGAAGCCTCCATCAGGCACTGCCTTACATCACCGAGACTTCTAAATCTTTGCTATGTGAGACAGAATGTCTCCCTGAGTATCTCCCAGTATTGTGGAAACAGACCTACTGGGTCAGTAGAACTCAGTATGTGGCTTCAGATACCTTTCCCTTGCAAGTGTTCTGGTTAGTATAACTGATACTGTTATTCTAATATGTCACAGTTATCTCTATCATAACTTGTGATATGTAAAGCTGCAGTTAATTCAAAGTTTGTGCAGGAACAGGCAGAGGCATTTCTGTAACAGCTGTCTCTTTCCTAAGCTAGCTATGTCTCCCATCTCTTTGTATTCACTCTTGTTATTAATGGATTGAGCCTAAGGCAACAGTAGAAAAATACTTCTAGGAGTGCACTTATCAAAATCCCTTCCTCAACACTTAACTATGTTTGCCTAGAAATCAATATAAAATAATCTTTGATTAACAGGTTTTATTGATGGGCCTTCTTAGAACAGGGGATGATTACAGTACTTACAACAGACATTAGTTCTCCATCCGCTCAGCTGGATTCCTTTTGCAGCACATGCTCTCACATAGGAAGACAGAGCTGCACACAGACAGTCCTCACTCTTTTCACAGTTACATGTGTCAAACATGCAGTTCTGGGAATGCAGGGAAAAATAAAGTCTCAACACTTGTGTAATTGTCAACCTAAAGAAAATGGATACTAAGTTTCTGGTCTCATGCATTACATCCTTCTTCAGATACACTCAGTCACAAACAATACTAACATAGTTTTGTTACTTTCCATTCTTCCTCTAGTTTCCTGGTAGAGGAGAATGAAGGTAATAATAGAATTTCAGTTGGTGTCTGCAAATATTATTGGGAAATAGTGGTCTTTATAGCTCCATGTTTACCTGAACCCTATTTACAAATATGCTGCCCAATAGCATAGTCTATTCACAGTACACAGTCTAGATGTGTCATCTCACCAGCATCCATATCTAGATGATTCACAGTGATAAGAAAGATGGGCAAGACAGACAGCAGAATGATGCCACTTAATTAGACAGTGGGCTTTCTCTGTCAAGTAGTTGTTAATGAGATACAAGGCTGGGGAGACAACAATTCACCATAATATTCAAACAAGCCTTTGACATGCTTTTACATAAACTTCCTATTATATTTTTATATCCATTCAGGAGTTAGGAGCAGCCTTTGCACTTGTAAGCAGGTCAGGATGACGATGCCAAGTCTGTCAATTGACATAAGGTGAGGTTACAACACAAACAGAAATATATGTTGAGAGAAAGAAGTGCTGCAATACAGAAATTAAAATACAGGCACTGCATAATACAAGAAACATGTCAGGGACAGTCCTTTACTGACTGATTGTTGTAACGATCCTATTTCTAAGGTTCTAAAGGGAAAAACAGTCTAACAAAGTACCGTATGGTAAATTGAGGGATTCACTGCATAGTGGCAATCAGCAAAAGGTCCTTTGCTGTTGGTTAGGAGTCCACACCAATGCTGAGCATACTTTTCTGTGAAGAGAACAAACCGTACCAATTCACATTAACCTTTGTGTCTCATTAGTCACAAAAACCCACTGCCTTGGTCTGCCTTTGATCTGACATCAAATCTCGCCTGTCTTTTTTCACTCACCTTGTGGGCTAGGGTTGCTAGGACCTAAAGGACCATGGAAACAGACTTGCTGAGGAGGCTGAATAAAGGATTACTGAAAATACTCCAGCAATCCACTCCGCTAACACTAAGCTGTGAGCTTAAGACACTCTGATTTCAATGATCACGTAGTTTCCTTCATTTACGCTTCCTTGATTCCTCTTTTACTTCATTACTTATCCCTAGTGCTTTTATTGTTAATATGTGCTTCTGATTTCAAATGTATGTTTTTACCAGGTATAAGATTGCTATTCTCTTATTTTTGCTTTCTTTTGCCAATAGAAGTGTTTTGCTATGAGGAAAACGATTAGAAAGATTCTAAGAAGCTTACTTACCATTTTCAATGCTGAGTGCACAAGGGTTCTCAAAACTATTTTGGATATTAGGGCATGAAGCCTGAGTTTTCCATGTATTAGCAAATGCTGCCGCCGTTCCTTCAACTACTCCACTCATGGCCTTGAAGTCATCAGCTTGAACATCATTGAAATTTCCACAGAGACCTGTTGAAAAGCAATGAAAAGTTTATACTGCTTGCACTAGACAAAATACATTAAGCAAGATGTTATTTTTATATTTGGTTCACCTACCACAGGTCCGGTCTTTGAAAATAGGATCAAGTCGCACAAACACTTGCATGATGGGTGTGATTTGGATTTCAAGCTGGAGGCCAAAATTTGTCTGTAGCATGATGAAGAATGATGAAGGTCTGAAGATGGTGACATTAGCTATGGATGAAAAATAGAATGATCGCTCTCTGGATGAGGTCAAATGCTGGAAACAGTGCATCATTGTACTAGTCTTCTTGAATTTCTATTGCAATCATTGCAAATGCTGATGTGAACTAAAGCCAATATTTTTAAAAATTAATCAGAAATATAAATCAAAATTTACAATTCAGAATTTGCTTGCAGCTACCAAGTTGCTAACTTTATTTGTTATCTCAACATTAAACAGCTGGAGATTACTCCTTCTGAGAAAATAAGAAGAAAAAACTGGATGGCACTGAACATTAAGAAAAATACCTTTTACTCCTGTTTCTAAACTTGTATAGCCTACCTTGGAGCCCTCACTTCACTGAGGAGGGAAAATAAGCATCATCTGGATGTCACAGATATCCAGTAGAATCATTAGTTACTGAGACAGACAGCAAAAATGAAATTTCTATCTGAAGAAGCAGGAGATGAAGCAATCCTTACAGCGACCAAACCAGAAGAGTGTAAATACTGTTTGCTTTTGTTTGAACTCTCACCTACGTCTGTATGACCTCACGTTTCTTTCTGACACCAAACTTCACACTTCTGCTTCAAAAGCATCTGTGTGACTCCAGCAATATCCCAGGGAGAACCAAGGTGTGAACATTCTGGGTTCTGAACAACTCAAGAGTCGGTGTTACACCACTCTACTAGGTAGGTGTAAAATAATAAGCAAGTGTGGAGGAGAAGTTCTGAGCTTATCACTCATAGACTGCTAGAGAAAATATACCTGCTGAGAAAGGCAGCTGAGTGTAGATCGAGTTCACAAAGACGCCACCATCAGGTTTGACCACGATGAGCTGGGAAGGAAGAGGAACAACAGGCAACAACGTAAAGGATTACTACGGTTCAAGTAGTAATAATGGTGAGGGCTCAGTGCACTCTGAGGTATTCATTAAAGGGAGTTGTTTTTCTGATTTCACCTCCTCTTCTCCCTGTTCTCCTTACAGTCCTTTTGTTTTCTATTTATTAACTTTCCTTGCCATAAAAGAATTGATTTTAAAGAGTCTTTTGACCTCCTTAGCGAATTACATCGTCTTAGTTTTTGCGAATGCAGGGCCCCACAGCTTTGTGATGAATCACATCCCTTACTGTTGTATTTGTAGCCTCTAACCTAAAAGCTTATGGTTTCTTCATGTAATTGGCAGAAAAAATAGCTTCTCTTCTGCTTTGTGAATACAATATTTTTCTCAATGAACATGCACAAAGCCTAATTTACTACTTATCTCGTATTCATAACAAAATACCTTTCTTTTCACTTCTTTAAAAAAATAACATGTGTTCGAGGGAGAAATGCTGACTAAGGCTGACTGATTAAGGCCTAGCTTCTTTGCTCCCTACATTTTTTATATTTGTTCTCCATAGTTATTTTGCATTCTTACAGTTTGTCCTTTATTCATGCTGAGGGCCACTGTCTTTAAGCATGTCTCAGTGTCTGTCATGCCACACTTGCGTAGTTCTCCCAGGATGGTGAATGTGTCATCTTCACAGTGCTGAGAAAAAAATGCCCACAGTTATTTCATGAAAGGCTAATTGTAGAAGCTTTCCCTGTCAAATTCCCTTTCATCTCTGAAAAAGTATTTCTGTTTCTGGAGAAGATCCAGACTCTCCCAAATCCTGGGTCTTCTTTGGTCTAAGATTCAGTTTTGCCTTTTGCAGTGATTAGGAACAATGAGATAATTTGACTCTGGTTCTGCATCTTCTTTTATGACGTCCAAATTCAGAGTTTTTATTCATGCCCTCCTAATTTTTTATTCAATTCTACTGTTTTTGAATCCTTCTGGAGGTTGTGCTAGACAAAAATTTCAGATAAAACATTTTTCAGGAAAACAGTGATGCATAGCAATGTTGGCTTTTACTGAATTGTGAAAACTGAGGGAAAAAAAACCCCAAGGAATAAACAGAAAAAGCACCCATAAGATCAAGGTATTTCATTTGCACATTATTGCAATGAAATTTTTTGATTAAAGTTACTTTTTAATTTCACTACTTCTTCTGACTTATTTTTAGAAGTGTTTTGAAATGTTCAGCATCTAAATGAAACGTATCATTTGACTTGAACTGATTTGTCTATATTTGAACTTCCCAGAAATTAAAGAAAAAATATTTGTCTTATTAATTTGAAATTATTTTTCTTCTACTTTTCAGAACTGTTACTGTAATTTTTCAGAACTTGTTGTACCATTTGGTCCAAAACTGTAAAATACAAGAACATAGTGAAAATATATGCAACTCAGTAAGAGAGTTGGATTAATCACATTGAAGAACATAGGCTAAGCAAGGCCTTAAAAAGGCAATGTTCTTCAGCAATTATTACATCACAGAATTGGGAATTCCCCAGTAACCACCACACATTGTTGCATGATATCCTATAACACCCAACCCACAGACAGTTAACTCATTTGAATGGTAGCACATGCTGTAGTAATCTGGTTAAGTGAGAAACCATTCAATGTCCTTTCATAAAATGCTGTTTCACAAGTGTTGATTGAGATCACCCTTTCTTTCTATAAATGCTTAAGGCTTTATGCTATCATAATATCTGCAGGTGCCCACCTTAGAGAGGACGTAAGTGCAGTCTCCATAGACACTGTAATGTTTTTTATCGTATGAGGATATGTGTGAGCCTCCCTCCACTGAACAAATTCCAGGGCATGACAGGTCTTGGCAACTCCACTGACCTCCATTACAGGTACTGGAAGAGAGAGGATGAAGTTAGCTGAAATTAGTGACAGTAATCCAGAGTAAAAGGATTTGCAATGTTAGGTTCAGCTATTTTGCTACTGTTTCTCCCTTCAAGCTGTAGTTTGAATCAAAGTAAACCTAGGTTTAGGACTTTCCAAAATACTGTGACCATGTGATGCAAAGCATTAAAGGGAATGATTCTAGTATGCAGTTACTTTGCTCATTCAACCTTTTCCCTATTTTGGACAGGTGGACTCTATTGTAACAGGTACTAGATAAGCATTTGCTTATCCTTTGCCACTAACATGAAAGCACAATGCCAAATTAAAAATTTCTCTTCTGTTTTGTTATACATATGTTGCAGACACTGACAGAGGTGTAACCTCAAATCTGTTTTCTGAGGTGATATGGTAAAGCACAGGTAGAGGATTAATTATTAGGAAACGAAAGTTGCATTGTGTCATCCCTTGCTTTCTCCAGAGAAAATAAATATTTGCAGATACGTAAATGACTGCTACTTCATTTGCCTTGGAGAAGTTCAAATGCTTGAACAAAGTAAACAAAGAGGAAGCATTTTAAGTCACTGGTGAGAAATCTAAACATTGTAAATCCTTACTTTGATCAACTTTAGTTAGAGTGCAGACTGCAGTTTGAACTGCACCTAGTTAAGACTGTTGCTAAATAAAACAAAGAATGTTCTTTAGGGTTATTTTGGAACTGTAGCGGTCAGTAAAATAAACAGATAGATTATTGATGATGCAATTGCATATCATAAACCATTAAACTCATTAAACAAATGAGAGGAAACAGCAAGTTAGAGTAGTAAGAGAGGTTACCAGGAATGGCACTGGGCTGAAAAAGAAGCTCCTGGAGCATAGGTGTTGCCATTATAAATACAGGGGCACTGCTGAAGGGGGATGCAGCCAGAGTTGTTGATGTCATCAAACACAGTTCCTAAACAGAAAAACACCTTGATTAATTAAAGAGGTGTTTCACATACATGTTTGTATTAGGTAGTCTGTTACAAATCGTAAATATGGTATCGGAGACAGATCTGCAGCTGTTGTGACAGAGCATAGTCCTGCTAAGGACAGTGTGACTATATCAGCTTGCACAGTGAAGGATTCAACTTTTGTATTCTTAAATTCAACCTGGTTTGAAAGAGGGACTTATTGTAGCATAGGTAGTTTGTTGAGAGTGGTCTTGATCTGTACATGTTGTTCTGTTTTTCCTGCTTTCTGAATGTTGCACATGTACTGGCTATTAATTCAGATGTCTTTTTTCAGTCAATAAATGATAAATGAACTTGTCACTTGCAGCTATGAAAAACGCAATTGTAGGAGCCTTAAACCCCATGGAACCTGTTCAAATCCGACAGCTAGGCTGTTGTTATTCATTGAGATCAGAGATGTGAGGACATAAGGACTTGCCTGTCGGGCAGAAACAACCATCCATACAGTGCTCTTCACAAAACTGAGATCGTTCAAGATTGGTGCATGTGTCAGTGCAGGGGGAGCCACACTCCTGGTACTGCATGTTGTGAGGACATGTCTTGGCTAAAATTTTAAAGGAGAATAATTTTTTTCAGTCAAAAGTGTTTTTAGTTCACTATATATGAAAATATGTATTAATTTAGGTTTGACAGCTAGACATAAAGCCACACCAAATTGCAGATCCACCCCCAGGGTTCCTTGAAATTTGCATATTTAATCACTCAAAACCATTACTTCACAGTTCAGATTTGCTTTCCATGACTGTTTTCAAAAAGAACTGTCTGGTGCTGAACTTGTGGCTCACTGACTGGATTTCTGGGGATATCAGGATAATGGCCCTTTAAGCCAGCAAGGCATATGTTTCTACTGAAGACACCCTTCTCAAGAATATCTGTATTGCTAGTGAAGTGTAGAAGTTACATTCCTAAAGCTTTAGTATTTTTGGATTTTTCAGATATCATTGGAAGGGCAGATAGTACCCCAGGGTATTTTATTTTGGAAGAAACGTTGGTGACCCTAGTTTCACCAGCTACACCCCATAATCTAGTATGTACTTAATTCAGTGCAAATCTCTCTGAAGATTACAATGGTGCAAACTCCCCATTACCAAGCAGGAGGTGGTAAAAAAGTACCTAGCCAGCCAAACACCTGTGAATACCTAATCAGTTAGCACTGGGGACAAAAAATAATGTAGCCACCATGAGAAAAGGAGGGGAACAAAAATACAAGTCAGCATGTACCCCTCATTCTTTTTCTCTCTTTCCTCCTTTACTTGTTCCCTTTGCTTTCCCAGTTAATTATATTACACTTTAATTCTGAATAAGACTATCCACATGAGTGTTTGACAGTGTTTAATCCATTTTGCATTAAAAGCTTCATTTTTTCTGAAGTCTGCATGCTGGAGGTTATATATTGGAGTTACTGGAGAATACGCTCTTGAATTGCCTGTATTTTCCCATGCCTCCTCAGCGTAATTTGGGACCTTGTTGCTTGTTGGCTGCTGAGCATAAAGGAAGGCTACCTCCAGTGATACTTACGGCATAGTTTTGAGGTTCTCCAGTTCAAAGGCTCCCCACCAGCATGAGCACACTGCCGAGAGTATTCAGCAAAGGTATCACAGATACACGAGGCATTCTTAGACTCCTCAGAACGGCACAAGTCTTCTTGGCAAGCTGTAATGTACTTGCCAACATCAACTAGTTCATTACATTTTGAAAATGCAGAGCTGGTCAATGTTTTCTGGCATATGTGATCCTTGGGAGGAAAAAAAATATATACAGTTTCCACAAAATAGAGAGGAGTAATTTTTCAGTACTGTTATTCTATTAAATTATTCTTTAACAGACTCTTACCTCCTTTTTCAATTTACTATCACCCTACGGCTTTTTCCTATCAAAGCTGGAGAAGGGAACAGAAACGTTTGAAAGAAAAACTAAGAAACAATCAAAAAGATCCTTACAAAATTATCAGTGCAGTTATCTGGGATGGAAGAAGTAGGGTCTTCACAGTTTTCTGTTGGCCCATCCATTTTCTGCATATTCCCGAACTGTAAGGCTGTTATCTTAACATCTGTACAAAAGAAGTTTAATAATGAGTATTTTTTTTTAATGCCACTGCCTTTTATCTTTTTTTCCTATCAAGAATTCTGTTCTAGACCGGCCAAGGCAGCTAGCTCCCTTAAGTCTTTTCATTTCATCACCACTCCTTCCAAAATAAATACTGGCATCGCAGTCTCATTTTGCCTTGCACAGCTCCCTGGAAAAAATATATTGGAAAAAGTACTTTGGAAAACAATTCTGTCTATTACGTCTATATGTAAACTAAGACTTTTACAGGAAAACAACAAACTGTTTTCCGATGATATTGAGTCCATACATATAAGAGAGAAAATGATTTAAATGGATTTGTACAATGGAGAGAACTGTGAAACAAAGCTTAGGAAAAGGCTCAAGCTGAGAAAGGACAGACAGATAGAGAAGATTTTATGCAAATCAGCAGGCAAATATGGATTTACTTCGTGGCAGGCGATTACATATTCCAGTTTGTGGCACTGTGCTTAATGGCTCATTAGTTCTAGAAAAAAAGTTGTTTGCCAGGCATCACAAATCAGAATCAATTTGTTATTATTAGAAGCATTTCTAATTTTAAGACAGACCCGAAACAATAACGGTACTGAGTAGATATTACAATTACCTTTTATTCCATTGGATATGTTTCTGTATTTATTTTTACTAGAATGTAGGAATTTGGCTCATCTCTATGGAGTTAGCTGAATAGGTAAATAAATCAATGGCATACAAGAGATACACAATCCGTTGTTAGCACCAGTAATACACTTAAAGAACTAAATTAGGTTATCTGATCTCTGTACTACATATTTTTCAACAGAGAGTGAACCCTACTTATGGGTAAATCCTTCAGAAGGAAAGATAAGAGCAGCAGGACAGATAAGAGGAATGCTTATGATGATAGAGCTAAAAGCATACCAAAAATGCTGGAGACACCAGAAACCAATTTTTATTATTTAAAAAGCTTACTGTTTGAATAGAACTCATTGTAAATTGGAATGCCATTGAAGTCTCCACAAAGCCCACACGTCTGATTGGCATATTTCTCATTCAATTCCAGCTAGAATGGTGGAGAGAAGGTCGACAGAAGTTAGTATACACATTCTAAAGCATATTCAAAAACCGTGAAAGCACCTGCAGCTGTTGTCACTAAGTATTTTTCATCAGAGCTGTGTAATTTAATCTACAATCTAATTCTAATTCTAATCTGTGCAATCTAATTCAAACCTGGGTGATAGAATGAAGAGTTGGCTTGGGTTTGATAAACAATGTAGAGTCCAAGCTATTCATGCAGACAGTTTTCTTTGTAATATTTATATTACTCTCAGCCTCTTTCTCACTATGCTAATTTTTCGGAAAGAAAATCAAATCCACAGTGAAAATGAAGTCCTGAGAAAGTAGAATCCTACTAGAAAATGACATTTGAGGCGGTAAGTAGGTCCTCCGATAACAATGCTAGTATGTTAGTAGTATATTGAAAGTGATTTTTCACCCCACTTTTAAGCAGAAGTCTACTATCCACTAGAAGCAATTCCATGTAATTTTCTTCAGAACAGTCTGGATGAAAATCTTAAGGAAGAATTGCTTGACAATAAGAGATGGGAAGGCAACAGTAACCTCCAAACAGATGGGGTCTGGTTTAACAAAAGAGTAGTTCTATGGTCTCTAAATGTGTAGATATTAGGCCTATATACCTAGTTTCCCTTTTTATACACAATCTTTGTTTCTCTTTAGCAACCTGATTTGCACGTGCATAAGCTCTGAGTGTACACAGTTATGGAAGTAATATCTGCGAATGGGCCCACATGAAAGTAAGGCCCATGGAAAATTTAACACCAGATGCTTCTCAGCAAGCTCTACTGAAGCTTCTGTCTTCAGGACCTGTTCTTACCAGGATACTGTCATCTTCATTCCACATCAACACAATGCCTATTTTGCTGATTACTTTCATGTAAATGCTGCTTCTCTCTATCGTAATTCCAGATTGGCTGTATGGTAGTTGAACCCTGAGAAAAGGCAGAAGGAATGGTAAGTATTTTCTGACCCAGGTGTTTGATAAAGAGAAAAAAAATGGCTTGTGTGATCCAGTAGCTATATGGATTCTTCTGCAGTGCAGTTGTGTGGAAAGAAAGGCATTCAAAAAATGAGATAGTTCTAAACAATAAAACGAGGATCTGAATTTGGATGCAACCTTGATCCAACTTTGATCCAGGTTTGAGGTAGTCTCTAAGGAAAGGATTGATATACTATGTAATGGATTCATAGCAACTTACTTCACTGTTTACATCATTAAAATTGTCAGATATATTGAAGTACGCATAATTTCCATCCCCCAAAATACATGGAAGTATATTTTCGCCAGTTTAAGAAAACCATCTGTTTTAATAATAAACTTACCTGTTGCTGTTGACTGTAACAGCCTCCTTTGTTAGTTCAGCAACCACACCTTCAAGTTTCATGGTGATATGATCGATTGCTGGAGTATTTCCCACCACTGTGCGCCTTATCTGGATGTTGAAGTCCTCATAGGCAGCATTGCAATGCGATGCAAAAACATAATTACAGAGCCCAGGGAAGTGGAAGATGTCTCCGTCAAAGGTCTTGAAGTGGAAGTTGCCCCATGTGCTGCACACACGGCCATTGTGAGCAAGGTTGGAAGCTGTGAATTTAAAAGTAGCTGTAAAAAGTGACTAAAACTTCCCAGCCTTAACATGATGTATCAACTTGTCCAAGCTTCATTTTGTCAGTGAATAATTTTCCCCTGCCTACCTCTATTTGTTATTTTCTGTTCATCTATCCATTATAAAACTAGTAACAGGATATTCATTCTTCACTCATCATCTGTCTATTATTCATCCTATATGAGCCTATAAATGGTTTTAGTTATGTTCATCTACAGCTTCATTTAACTATTCACATTTCAGCTAACAGTTCAATATTATCTCATGTTTGATGACCTGCCTCTCTCGTTCTTCTCTTATGAACCCATGATTTCTTCTGCTCATGTCTCCCTATTTGTATTAACTTTCTTATCTACATTCCCTACAATTGGATACTTTAAAAATATATATTTTTTTCTTTACTTACGTGTTATTATTGGATTTGTCAGCATTGGTGGGATGACATTCACCTTAGACGAATTATTAGTAGAAGCTAGAAAAAAGGAAGGAAGAAAACTAAAACTAGGATAATAACTCTAAAACTTCCACCTACAATTGACCTAGAAAAGACTAGAAAGTTAATATACTTGATCCAGGGAAACAATGTTAAGCCTACTGTTGTTTTAATTAGGTCTTGGAGCAGGTTAAAATTCAAAATTAGAACAGTTAAATCATAAGAAATTGTTTTGTTTTTAATTGTCATGATTTGCATTTTCTACCTTGTAATTTTGACCCTTTTATGAAAATCTGCATTCTGTTAGGAGAGGCAGAAATTCATCACTCCGCATGCTGGAGTGCTTCAGACACACTGGAGTGCTTCAGACACAAAGGGTGAAGCCATACTAAATTAGCCTTTTAGTAATACAAAAGTATAGTTGTCTTCTCATTACATCTCATCTTTCTAAGGAAGGAATAAAAAGTCTGATTACTCCCTTTAATCTCTCTTTGTTATTTTTCTGTCAAGGGATGAGAACCCATTGAAATGACCATAAATCCATTGTACAGGATGATGACAAATCATTAACTGGTAAAAATTAATGAAGTTGGGTTGTCATCTTGATTTTTCAACAATAGCCGCTGACTGTACAGCTTGCCAAAAGATTTTTATTTCCATATGTATAAGGAATAAAATATCCTGCACTTACATTCCACTTTGATTTTATACATACATATTCATGCACATGTGTATGTGCATACACCTCCTATGAACATACATCTCTTCTCTTAGTTACCTATTATTATACAGATAAACCACATACCATGTATATTTCTTAATAGGTATCTAATAAAAGTGTTACAATAATTTTATATATAGTAGCTTGCGAATACATATATCTACCTTACATTACCATCAATATCCTAAAGAAGATTTTTGCTGCATTTATTATTTAGTAGAGATGCAGGCAATGAACACAAATACACATGCACGGCTGAACAAGTTCAGGGTAGTTGTTTCCTGTTTCCTGTTGGCTTTGACTGTGGGCTCCGGGGAACAAATTTTTAAAAGCATGTTAAGTAAAACGTACTATATCTGAAATCTTCAAGTGAAGCATTCAGATAGGATCAAAGGACCCAGGTATAATATCTCTGTGACACAAAGGGAAGAGTCCTTTGTCAGGTCAGAGAAAATGAATCAGACTCAAACAGAAAAGTAAAATGTAATTATAGAAATAAATTTTTCTATTACAAATACATGGAGTTTGAAAGCCAAATCAACCTTTCATATACACTTTCAATGCTTCAACGTTTTTTCAATGCTTTCTTTATATCCCTCACAATTCATGCAAGGGACTAATCACTGGATCACAGCCCTTATTTCAACATTGCACTAAATATCACTAATATGGGAAACAACTGCAGCAAGAATTCACAGATTGCAAGAGAGTCATTTGTTAAAGTTTCTGTGCAGTAGTTAAGTAATAATAAGCAAAAACACAGACTAGGTTAAAAGAAACGAGGGGCTTAGGGCTAGATCAAATAATGGGCACAGATATTTACACATCAGTTTCTCTAGAGCTTAAGGCCTTTACCTTTGAAGCCAATCCAGACCCCTCAGTTAAGGATCTGGATTTGCTTGACAGTAGGATGCAAACAGGCACCTCCGAGTGCTAATCATAAGGCCCATAGGTGAACAGTAATCCAGGAGAAGTAACCAGAAGAAACACACTGCACAGCGTTACAGCCCCACACATTTTAAACATCACTGCCTGACCAAAGGCTGCAGGAAGATTGCACATCCATTCAGAAGCCTGCAGGTTCCCAGAGTCCCAGGGTATGCGAGAATGAGGCACTCCCATACTTTTGTTTTAAAACACAACTGTTAGAGGAGATGATAATTCCCTCACTATTTTATACAACAGCCTACTAGGTAGAGCATTCACCCAAAAAGCAGAAAATCTAGTCTTAACCCTCTTCTCAGTCTGAGACAGTTCAAAATTGTGTCTCTGCTGGAGAGAACCTCTAGTGTCAGGCTGTAAGTCTACCTGACCAAGGATGCTTGCTACCCCACCTGAAGCTGAGATATGGTGCAGAAAATAATGGGACAGTGACAAAGGAGGAAAAAACAGGCTGTGACCATGTGGCCAGACGATTAGGGTGCTCAGCAACATCAGAAAACTCCTATTCTTGTGCCCCATTTCAAGGATTATTTCTGTGCCTCCAGTTCAACTACATAAATTGTCTTCCAGACGAGTTTGCTCACTCCTAGTGCGCTTCTCCTTCTGGCTATTCTCTTTCTGACTCCATGAGTTTTGAATTTTTCTCTGTGCATGGCCCAGCTGCAAGAGGAGGTTGTAGCAAAGACTTTTGAGAGATGAGAAATATTGACCTGAACACTTTCAGGCTTCGAAGAAAATTGCTCCTGAGCTCCAGGATTGGTGCCCTAAGTTCTTGTCTTTTAGAAGTGAAAAAGGTGCACAATTCCTGTTAAAGAAAAATGGCCATAACTTTATCTTGTGAAGGGCTGGAGCCACATAGGCAGAGGGAGGGAAGTGCTGAAGTCAGGGCTGTGTCACAAAACCCGCTCCCGTTTGCTGCTTGCATTCCTTACTGAGCTCTACGGTCATGTAGTTCCTCCACTGACGAGTTTCAGCCCAGATATCTGCATAAAAGGTGGGCAACTACCTTTGCCAAAGAAGTCACTGCAGCATGGGTGGGTTTTTTTTTCCCCCCAACATAACTGCTACAGTGTCAGCAGGTTGCGTACTCCATCCCAGAGGGGGAAGATACCGTGTGAAGGGATTGAAGCCCTCACTCAACGAGAAGCCCCCAAGAGACAGCTAGCTTTGGAGGAGAAGGCTCTGGGCAGCCTCACCATCTCCTCTAGAAGTCCTTGCAGTTTCTGCAGAAGTTTCTTTTTGGACCTGCGCTTTTACTCTTTTCTCATTTACCTTTATGTGTGGCCATTGGTGATGTATGAAGAAGTAACTTAGGACAGAACTTAAGCGCGCAATTTCCATTTCCTGTTGTTCTCTCAATGTCACAAATAATATCATCAGCTAAATACATTCATATCATTATAATAGATACTGATCGGGTGAGAAAATCTAACAAATGCCTCTGCAAGTCTTACTAACAGGCCAGATTTGGCTCTCACCTAATACATCTATAGCAATCTCAGCAGGCAGAGATCCAGTCTGAATTAATGTAAGAAGCCAACAGTCTTTAACATACTTTGCATGTTTGTTTATTCTAGCAGGAGAACTTTTGTAACAGAGCAAAAAGAGTGTATACATGTATTTTAGTCTGTTAATTTTTCTCAAGGAAATAGCAGGGGCTTTTGTTCATTTAGCAAATATATCATTCCCAAGGAAATTCTACCTGCATTGGCTTATTTAGCTATTGCACAATGCCATGCTGTTGACCATTATGAAAGTAAGTGTCTCTCAGCATCACAGTCTTACTTGCAAGAATGTCCAAGGTAATTTTCTATTTGAGTATTTGGGAACTGAACTAATACTTAAGAATATTTCTGGATGCACTTTGCCAAGTCTATATCCTGCTGTCAATCCACATATGCAATTCTCATTAAAGTCAATTTATAAAAATTAGAATCTGACTCAAAATACAGAGTCAGGCACAGAATGTTGGTGGAAATAGCATAGGATTAGGCCAGTATTTTGTAGGACATCTGAAATATTTTCCACAGAGTGTGATTCAGGCAAAGAGTTTGGCGGACTCGGTCTAACCTCTATTCATTTTCCAAAACAATTTATCAGTTTAGCATTACACAGTGCAAATAACTTTCTTTTTCAAGGACATTGTAGCTGAATGGATAAGGATGCTGTTGATTGACATTGCGTAACTCTAAACGTAAGCTTACATTCTGACTGTTGTATTTTGTGCTTAAACAAACTTATCAGCATTTTAGTGCTTATTTCATGAAATTTAAAGTAGCTGAAAATTATATTTGCACTTGTCAGTGTTTTGAAAATGATACGCAAGATAAATTTACATAGGCAATCTGGAGACTTCTTTTGAATTTTAAAAGGCAAACTGAAGGGGCAATAATTACTGTACATGAATGAGACTGAGCTGACAAGCTTGTACTCATGCAAGTAGTCTCTGTTTGAGTGGTCCCATTGACTTAATAGGACTACTCCTGTTAATAAAAACTGCCAAGATCAGCCCTGATGCATACAATACAGTCAGGAGAAAAAAACATACAAAATGACGGATTGCATGCATCAGATAATCTGCTAGTCCCTTCTCATACTAAAAAACAGTGCTTTCTATAAATATAGTAAATAATGTATTAACAGTTTATAATTAGTTTGTGAAAATCATTGCCACAGAATATCATAGAGTTTCCTTCTAATCTCTCTTTTCAAAGCATGTTGCAAGAAGTCTTGAGGAATCTGGTATTAGCTCCTGATAGGTGGCAAGATACTGGAAAAGACTGACCAGTGGTCTGATCTAGCAACTGGAAAATGCAGCATCTTAATTTCATAATTCTTCAAGGCTACCTTCCAAATGTAGTTATATACAATGGCTTGAGGCAATATTAAATTAAATCAGTCCAATTAATAGGCAGACATTAAATATTTAATGAAAATTGAAATTAAAAGTACAAACCTCATTTAAAAGTACAAGAAATCTCATCTAAGTGCAGCCACTTGTTATGTGAAACAATGAGTCTAAATTTTAAAATGTATTAATACATCTAAATAGACTATTTTTTCTTTTCCTCGTAAAAAAAAGAAGTGATTGAGTCCTTACCTATCTGGTGGATACAGCAAACTGCTAACAGGAAAGCCCATTCTGGTACCCGTATCCCCCTGCCAAACCCCATCTTGAGTGGAGTCTGGCAAAAGGATGTCGGGCCCGGAGTTGGTCAGGAGGAGTAGTTCACCTGTGCTCTCTCGGTCTTATATAGCAGGTGACTTTGGCGTCACTCCCGGATTGATTCAGAGAGTCTAGAAAGGTGGGGTTTGGGGGATTTTAACAGATGAATAGGTAAACAGAGGATGCTCTTCCTTCCTCAGCAACT